GCTTCAGTCTCCTCCTCTGTGAAATGGGGGCAGCTCTAGACGGGCTTCACAGGAATATCGGTAGATAGAGGATGACGCCTGTGGTGCTTGGGCGCAGGAAGTGATGGCTGCTGCTGCCAGGCCCCCTGGCTGCGGCTTTCAAGGCCTCACAGCCTCTGCTTGGGGTGGGCGCCCTAATTTGCATGTCTCCTTTTGTGTATCCGCTTCAGTGGTGGAGGGAGGTGAGCTTTCTGCAGCTCACCCTGAGCTTTTGTCCTGGTGTCAGGTTCAGGTGGGCCACTGGGTATCTGTCCAGTCCACACCTGTAGCCTCCTGCCCTCTGGCTTGGAGGAATGAGCACATAGCAATGGGGTCACAGTTCTCCCATCTGCCTCCCTCCTCCTGCCAGGCAGCGCCCCTGAAGCTGGAAGCAAATGCTCCCACCAACTCACCTGGACAGACATCACAGGACCCATCTCTCTCTCGGAGTTCAGTCCTCCCAGGTGAATTCTGAGTCATCTTTCAGGAGATTCAGAGGCCTCCCAGCTGTAGGAATTCAGTGACTGCAGCCACTACCAGAAGAACCGTTTGGACACAGGACAGGAAGTGACCTTTTCTTGCCCGGGGCCAGTAAGCGATATCACATGTGATGGTAGCAAGCCTGGGGGTCATAGTCCTCTCCCCATCCTGTGTCCTGTGGTCTGTGGTGGAGCTGTGTGCTGGCTCCAGACTGTTTGATGTTTCTCCCGCACCAGGTGACATTCCTATTGCATTCCCTACTCCGCCCAAGGGTGACCAAGGAATTGTGCCACTTGTCTCTTCCCAGTTCACACCCTGCATCTCAAATTGTGCACCGTCGTCACCTCCAAGCTGGTTAAAATGCGTCAGCCCCAGAGAGAGTGGGTCAGTAGGTCATGGATGGGGTCCAGGAGTTAGCATGTCAACTGTCACCCCAGAAGCTCTTGATACTGTGATCCGCGGGCCCTGCTTTAGAAACGCTGAGTTGTTCACTGATCACATTGAAATTAAGTGCAGTGGTATCTGTCTATATGCATTAGCTGCATGCATGTTGGGGGGCGGTTCTGGAAGGATGGTCTATAAAATGTCAATAGTGGTGATCTCTGGGTAGGATGAGATTTCGAGATATTTTAGATCTATTTCTCTCTGCTTTCCTGTATGGTTTTAATTATAGAGGAAATAGGACATAGGATGTAGGTGTGAGGGGAATGTGGACAGAGGGAAAAAAGGCCACATGTGTAACGGAAACTATTTGCGCTCAGAGCTGTGCCCCTCTCTCTGTGACTCCCAGCTCCCGAGCCTGCGCGGATGGCCTACAGAAGAAAGGAATGGCAGACTTCTCATTTTCACCTTGTCTGTTTTTGGCAAAGCAGCGACCAGACTCATGGCTGGGAACTGAGATGGTGGAGTTGAGCCTGAAGGCTGGGCCTCCCATCCCAGCTCTGTCCCGGAGCCCCGGGCCCGGTGCGCTCCTCCTCTCCCTGGCCAGCATCCGGGCACCCTGGCCAGCCAGGCAGAGCCAGGGAGGGTGATTTTACAGCACGGTTATTACTTTGTTGTTGCCCAGTAAACCCACACCGGGCCCCACAAACACTGCGTGAGAAGGCCAGACCCTGCCCGAGAAACGGTTTCCTACACCTTTACAATGTGATAGGTGCGGTGGAAAAAAGGGCCCGTTGGATTTATGGAAACTATATAAAGTTTATGGAGTCTTGGCAAGCCAGAAGTAGAAAAGGCCTGCAGGAGGGGGGTGGGCACTTCGGAATGGAGAGAGCCATGAAAGGGCGTCAGACCTCTGTGTCGGACACCAGACACTATAGCCCAAGGCCGGGGCATGCCGTGGGAGGGTGGGGGTGGGGAAAGTGGCCTATGGGACAGCTATTGGGGATGCCTTCGGGGGTGACCCCACTGAATCTTACAGCCTGCCTGTGAGGGGAGCACAGTTTTCCCCCCTCTGTAGAGGGGAGACTGAGGCAAAGTATTTTGAAAGTTAGAACATGCCCAAGGTCGCCCAGCTAATGGTGTGTGGCTCTCACGTGGATGTTCTGGGGCAGGCTAAATTCATGCAGTCTCTCTCCTGTGGATTAAATGGTGTGTCCCAGTTTCAGGTCCAGAAAATGTGGTCTCTGTGTCCGATTTTAGTTTGGGACTTGTCTGTTATTTGTGATTTCATCTCATGGTCCCCTCATATCTTCAGTCACCACCTTGCCCCCGCCCCCTGGGTCAGCTTTGCTGTTGAGGCTGATCTGTGCCCAGATTCACCCACGGGCCATGGCTAGAATGAAAGTGAAGCCTCCCAGAGGGTGGCTCTGGATCAGGGCAGAGCGAGAAATATTGTCCTTGCCTTCAGGAGCCCCTCCGTGTACTGTGTGATCCTCTTAGAGTTTTTGGAGGAGTACCCATTGGGGTCTGAAACCACCTCTTCCCATGCCCTCAGCCCTGGACACTTCTCATTCATTTCTCCTTACATGTGTGCTCTGTGGTGTCCATGTTTTCTCTCCTGCTTGGCTGTGAATTCTTGGAATGCTGATTCTTTGCTTAATTCTTTATCTGATTTTGCTCACGGGGTCTGGCATAGTTCCTGGCATGTAATAATTGAATAAGTATCAACTGGTAGGATGGGTGGGTGGATGGATGGATTGATGGATACATGGTTGAATGGATGGATGGATGGATGGATGGATGGATGGATGGATGGATAGATAAATATGTGGTTGGATAGAGAGATAGGTGGATGAATGGACAGATGGATGGATAGATACATGGATGGATGATGGATGGATGGATGGATAGATAGATAAATATGTGGTTCAATGGGAAGATGGGTAGATGGATGGATGGGTGGATGAATGGGTGGATAGATACATGGATGGATGGATGGATGGATGGATGGATGGATGGATGGATGGATGGATGGATACATGGATGGATGGATACATGGATGGATGGATACATGGATGGATGGATGGATGGATGGATGGATGGATGGATGGATGGATAAATATGTGGTTGGCTGGAAAGATGGGTGGATGGATGGATGGATGAATGGATGGATAGATACATGGTTGGATGGAAAGATGATGGATGGATGGATGGATGGATGGATGGGGCACATATAGACTAACGGACACCCACTTCCTTGTTTACATCTTTCTGCACAATTAAACCAGCAGGCTCACCCACGTTCTCTCAAGCTTTCCCTGAATGCACTTTGTTTCATACTTTGCTCTCTCTGAAGCCATATGGAGAAACCAGCCTGGGTGTTTGAATGTGTGTGTAAATACTTTACAATCCCCATAAACTTGTTTAAAGACAGTTGGGGGTGAAGGTATAAACTGGGGCAGCCTTTGGGGAGGGCGATTTGGAAGTAGCTATTAAAATTTTAAATGTGCCTACCACTAAGACCCAGCAGTTTCACTTTAGTCGTCAGGCATGAGAAATACGTTCACAGGCTTGTGCACAAAGAACCACACGCCCAGATGCTTACACAGGGATGCTCGTAACAGTGAGAACGGGAAACGGCTAAGTGCCCAGCGACAGAGGGACGGCCACTAAACTATGAGACACCCTTCCTATGGGAAACACTGCAGAGGCAGAAAGGTCTCAAGCGGGGCTTGGGGCAGGGTGTCTCCAACCTTCAGGAAAGCTCTGAGACTGTCACTCAGCAAATGCGCCCCCTCCCTACCTCATTTCTCTCACTTCTTTTCCTTTCTCCCTCCTCAAGAAACAGTTTACTGGAATTAGACATGTAATCCTTGTGCCCACTTGCCAGTGACCTTCCCTAACAGAAAGGGAGGGAAATGAGAGAGAATCGGCCACATAAAGCATCATTACTGTCTGCTGGCTCTTCAATTAAAAAGACTGAAGGGCACAATATTAAAATTTGATTTATGGGCACCACTATCTGCCCAGTAATGAGGCTGAGAGGAAAAAGGAACCGCAGTCGTTACAGAAAACTGGAGCCTTTTCCCTCCCGCAGCTGAATTGCTTCTCATGTTCTTATTGCTAAAGAAATGGGAAATGGCTTTAAGTACGTGTGATGTGTTCTTCCAACATGTTGAAATCCAGAGCTTGGTAAGCGGGGAGTCAGCCGATGCCGGCATTTCAAGCTTCCTGAGAGGTGTGGTGGCTGGAGCTGTGGGGCTGCTGGTGGGTCCAACCCTGGGACTGGCACCCACCACCCATCTCAAAACTCCCCCGCTCCTAAGACCCCCGTCCAGCGAATGCCACGGAGCTCAGGAGGGAGTGGAAGAAGCACAGAATCCAGCTCCGAGTCCCAACTCGGCTGCTTATTTGCTATCTGTGACCCCCAGTTTCTTCACCTGCAAAGTAGGAGCGTTAACCTTAGCAATTGTGTGACTTTGGGCAGGTGCCCCAGGTCTCCCGTCCACCCCCAAGGGTGGTAGTAAGGATTAAATTAGCGAATTCGGATAAAGTGCCTAGATGGGTACCTGCCCCATAGCGAGTGCTTGGTAAATATTTTTCTATTATTATTATTATTGCAGATGTTTTTGCTATAATTGCAAGACCTGGGATTCAAACACAGACCCCCTATTTTCCTTGTGCCGATGGGGGGCAGACAGACCAGAGGGCAGTGCCCAGCTCTGACTGTCCAGCAGGTGCCCTGGGCGAGTCGGGGTACCTCTCTGAGCCCCTTCCTGTTCATCTGTAAAATAAGTTTCTACTCCACAGGCAGTGTTGTCAGGGTTAAAGATGAACGGAAACAAAGTGTCCAGGACGCGGTCAGCGCTGGCCAGAGGGAGCAACCCTCGGAGAGGAAAGCTTTCCTAAGAAGCCTGTGTGGGTTTATGGCTCCGGCTCTCTGAGGCTCTGCAGACTCCTGCAGGATGCGCCCTTCCTGAAGGAGCTTGAGTGTTTCTTGACTCTAGAAATAATAGTGACTAAAAAAAAAAAAAAAGAGCAGCCATTGTGCCAGGCACTGTGTTGAGGTGGCTTGCAGGATCGCAGGTATCTTAGGGCAGCCTGGGAGTGAGCAGATAGACATGGAGATGGGCGACTGCCCCAAGGACAAAAAGCTGGGAGGTGAAGGCCCGAGAGCCCCACCCAGGACTGTCAATTCTTTCCGCCACACTCGGGCGCATTCCGGAGCCTGCATCCCAATTCCTAATCGCTGGCCTCCGCACGCCCTGTCTCTCAGGTGTCCCAGCTCCTCGGGCCCGTCGCCCCTGCCAGGCAGGTATTAATTTGTGTTAATTTGTATCTCACCACCAGCGCTCCTTAAGCTGGAGAGAGTCAGATGCCCAGATGCTCACCTGAGGTTGTGTAGGACGTTTTGTTATGTGTGTCTGAATTTTGGGTATTTAATCTACTGAAGATGCTGGGGAGTGCGGTGTGGCTGGGGAAACGGATTATAGGTGCCACCCAACCCCTTGCTAACCCCCTTGCGTTCGTTCATTCGTACCCGGGACCCTCCTGGGCTCTGTCTGCCATCTGCCTGGGATCCCCCTGGGGAAGAGGAGGGTGGGATCTTGTGCATATTTCTCTTTGCCCGGCTAATGGCGTTTCTTTGTTTGCAGTGGAGCGGGAAAATGTGCAGAAGAGGACCTTCACTCGGTGGATAAACCTGCATCTAGAGAAGGTAAGCGGCGCTGGGCGTTGGTAACTGACGGGTTCATCCGTGACTCAGTGTACAGTTCAGTAGCCTGGGGAGGGGACACGGCGGCTCTGTGTTCTCTGTTGTTATTGTCACTCATTCATTCAAACATCTATCCAGTGCCTGCTCACTGCCTGGTATCAAGCTCCGGCTGGGAACACGGAGGTAAGTAAGGTGCTGTTCTCTCCTCTTGGGGCTGTTAGTCCACTTGGGGAAGGAAAGGTCTACCTTTTTTTTTTCCATGGTAAAGATTGCTTTATGGGTGGCAGTTAGTACAAGCCAATAGATATTGACCCCCAAAGAAGAACTCGGTATTTTATCAGCTTCCTGGCCCATAGAGAGCTGAGTGAAACCGACCCAGCTGACTGCTGGGAGTATAACTGCAGTCAGTCCTGCTTCTTGGGAAGTGAAGCCACAGCCAGCTGATATACGGCGTTTGCTGTGCCACCAACTGTAAGAATCACGGCAGCTCTATACAGGAGGCACCAGCTACCCCACCCTTCAGATGCACTGGAATTCCACTGTCCTCCTGAAATATGATTTGTTTCCCTGGAACTTTATTTTCAAACTGCCCGCGTGTAGCAGTGTGAATGGTCCTCTGGGCAATCTGACAAAGAGCAGGCAGATTTCGCAGCACGTCGACTCAGTTACTGCCCACCAAGTGCCACAGCTGAATGCTGGGAGCGAATGTCGCCACACCCAGAAGGTCTGTCTTTATACAGATGAGCAGACGTTAGGAGACATTCGCTATTGTACAACCCAGACACTTCCATGGACAGGAGACGAGGGGGGATCTTGAATTCTGGTTTGCAGGCGGAGGGTGGGGCTCTCATTAAGACTTTTGTAGGAATTTGGATTGATTTATGCAAGAACCCTTGACACCTTCTCACAAAGCCAGATTCCCGTTAACCACGTAATGTTGCTATTGATCAGTAACATTACCTGCCCCTTTGGGTGCCCCAGGCATCACATATCTCCTTTAATCCCCATGACGACCCTTATTACCCCCACCTCCCCAACCTGTTATAAATAAGGAAGCAGGTGCAATGACTTCCTGCAGTCCCACCACCAAGGGGGACACTCTCCCTGTGGCTTCTGAGGATTCAACTTTGTGGCCTTCCTTTCCCCTGTTCTTTCTGTCTGACCTTCTCTGGCCTGCAGTTTTCAATTGCATTTTGTCTGCAGTCCCCTCGGGCAGGCACAGCATAAGACAAAAGCAGCAGAACCGCTCACCTGCTCATAGCAGAGGGAAGGATGAGCCCCAGAGGGGCAGGGATGCCAGCAGGCAGCTCCAGAGAGAAATCCCAGCCCTCCTTATGTCCCTGAACGTTCAGTGTTGCCTGGGGCTGGCTTTCTTTATAAGAAAGCTGGCGGATCAGGCTTCCTTCCACTCATTTCATTTCTTCTGAAATCCTGCTATCTGGTTCTCCAAACAGACCCAGCCAGCAGTCTCATTTCCTTTTAAACCTGGAGGTATTCCAGTGCCCACGTTAGTTCAGGCAGGTTTGTTACCTTCTCTCCTGTCCTCTCACAGGCACAGGAGTAACTGTCCTTAGAGTTAACCAAAATGAAGGTTCTTAGAGGGAACCATCAAAATGATTAGAAAGCAGAGGAAATAAATGTGGTTTGTAGGAAGTGGAGCCCTTGCCCGTAATTCCCATTCACGGAGTTGACTTTCAGGGCCTGTGATATTTCCCGAGCAGCACTGGGCCACCCACACCTCTGTCCCCCACCTGTAGAACAGGGTACACTTGACCCAGGAGGCTCCTGAACTCTTCAGGTGAGAGACTGCCTATCGTGGATGAAGTGTGAGAAATCATTGCCAGTTATTTGGACTGTGGGTGCATTTTCGGCAGGGCTCATAAAGTGAAATGTTATTTCTGGAGAAAAGGAGAACCGTTTCCCAAACCTGAGTTCACTGAACTCCTAAATGAACGCCTGATGTGTGTCTGGGTAGCTGGATCCCTCCTGGTGGACAGCATGTGGCCGTGGTGTCTGTCTTTCTTTCTTTCATTCTTTTTTTAATTAAAATATAAATACAGGGAAGTACAGAGGGTAATACAGCAAATACCCGTCCCTCACTCACGGCCCCAAACGAGCCTCTTAGCATTTATCCTATCAGGGCTTTTCCCCTTGGCCGCGCCCCGGCTCCTTCCGCCGGGCAGGTGGGCAGCACCCACTCTGAAGATAAATCAGACAGCACCTGAAACCCATGCCTAATAAACAGGGCAAAATTAACAGCCGCGTTTCCAACCCTGAGACTTTCAAGAGCAACCTTTCATGTAGAGGAAACCCAGGAGGTCCTCGGGGAACTGGGCTTAACTGCAATTTGAAGGCTGTCAGAAATCTTTACCGAGGCTCTGGCTCCTGGAAAAATTCCTTCGTTTACCGAAGGAGTTAGATCATGAAGAAAGCCCTGGGGGTGCTGTTTACTCGGCCATACCGATCTCATGAAGCCCATGGAACGTTCGGGGCCCCGGGACTGTTTTCTCTGGAGCGGTTTCAATTTCTCCTCCTGCCCTCTCGCGGAGTGGACCTTGGCCGAGGCCCCGTGTGCTGCTGCTGCCTCCGAGGCTCCCACAGACACTGTTGATGGAAACGATCCCTGGCCACCGTCGGGGCTGGTCACTGGAAATGTTGTTAGTCCATCCATCGGGGGTGTTTTGTTCTGGCCTCGTGATCTCTGCCTCCCATTAGCAGGAATAATATTTCCGTAAGAGTCTCTGTAACCCGATGCCCTCGTGCTCGGCCTGGAATGTGCCCAGGGAGCCATGGGAGTTTGCAAAGAAAATAATCTGCCCTTTGGTTCAAAGTCACTGCTGCCCTTGAGGTGAAGCCCTTTTCTGCGCACCTGTGGGTGGAATCGCCCTGTGTTTGGACTCACCGGGGGGTCAGGGGCTCTTATAAGGCCTGAGGAAATGCCACCTTCCCTAATAAAATAGAAAACACGGGCCCTCCAAGGCTGCCTGGGGAAGGAGGCCTTCCCGGAGGAAAGGGTGCCTGGGCCACAGCTCCCTCGTGTTTCCAAGGCTTTCCTTACCCCAGGTCTCCTGCTGGTTATAGCTGCCCACCCCCTTTAAATGTCCCCTCATCTCCTCTGTGAACATCCCCTTTCATTGTACCCAGGAGCAGAGAGCACCCAGCCTAACTATCCTAATGTTGCCAAAGGCCCCAATACTGACAGGTAAATGGAACCGGGGCTCGGGTAGAGGCTCATTAGAAATGTAGGTTTATGGACCCTGTTACAGGAGGTTCTGTTGTAGTTAAGTCTTCACCAGGCTGCACTAAACGGAAACTTTTCTTCAAGCAAAGTCTGACCTGAGACTCTAAACAAAGGCCCATAAGAGCTGAGTGTCTCTGATGAAGGGGTGCAATGGACCGGCCTCCCTCTTGGCTCCCTCGGCCCCCATAGGGTGCCCTGAAGTTGTTCTGCTGAAGCCTAGGGTCCAGGGAGCCCAGTTTGCAGATCCCTGGGCTGGGCCATCTGACCAACAAGTTCAGCCGACCACGTGGATTCTGCCACTTCAAGCCAAACTCGTGGTGGGCAGGGCACAGTGTCAGCTCACCCAGACTCTAGACCTCTCCAGGACTAGGCTCAGAGAAGAACGCTGGGGCAGGGGGTGGGCAGCTTTCAGTTCCTCCCACCCAGGCCCCTTCACACTCCAGGTCCTGTGTGGAGAGCTGCCTTTCCCCAGGGAGAGGGAAGAGCTGGGTGAACTGGGGCTGAGGGTGCCGTTTACTGACCCAGGGAACCCAGAATGGGAAGCGAGTGAAACAGAGAACTGATGCTTCAGGGTAGTTCCCTGGGGAGGGGCATCGGCTAAGGACACCTCCCTTTCGGGACTCATAACCATGAGGCGTACACCCCCGGGGTGCAGTGCCTTACTAAAGAGGGCACCCCAAGTCTCTGCAGGAAGGAAGCCACTTTAGAGTAAACTGGTTTGACTGACCAGTTTACTGGGAGGGCAGGTGCTGTGCCAGGTACTTTTCCTGCATGATCTCAACCCATTGTAGTTCCCTCTTTTGTGGTGAGTCAGAAACCTAACCCTGACCTTATAGCCAAGGATACTCAGGCCCAGGGAGGTTAAGGAAAATGCCCAAGGCCAAGTCCTGTTGAGGGTAGAACCTGGATTTGAACTCAGGTGTGTCTAACCCCCTTGCTTCTTAGTGGAACAGGTGGGAGGTACGTTTATCTCAGGAAGCCTGGATGCTGTGGAGGAAAGAGGCAGTAACATTCACGGATTAACTTTTTAGTACAATTTTTAATTTGTTTGATTTGTTACAATGAGCATGTACTATGTATATCTAAACATATAAATGTACATCAACACATACATATAAACCAGCCTCTCGAACTTTGAGATCCCAACAGACCTATAGACGTGGGGGTGAAGGGAAAGTTTCTCTCCCTCACCCAGCCACCCAGCATTCAGCAGGCCAGCTTGTGTCCCTCCCAACCAAGTTGCCCACACCAGCCTCCTTCCTGGCTTCCTCTGCCAAGGGCACCCCAGCTCCAGACTTTGGACTAAATATTAATAATGTGACAACGGGCACCTCAGGAAGGCGCGCATATTTGGACTGAGCAGTATGGGAGATGGGGGAGCCCTGCCGACACCTGGGCCCTGGCCCAGAGGGTAACTGACCCGGGGTTACGCTGTCACCGTGTGGGTCCAGCTGCACCTGTGGCCAACCAGCGTGTCCTGATGAGGATCCGGGCTGTACCAAAGAGCTGACTCATCCAAACACTGGGTACATCACCAGCCTCTTGGAGCCTCGGGGTCCCCAGATCTGAGGTGAAGGGCTTGCACCCAGTAATTTTATGTGAGACCTCCATCTAGAATCATTTCATTCTTTGGAAGGCTGTGATTACGACATGCCTTTTCTTTCTACCCTTAAGCAGAAACGTGGATGGAATGTGATTCTGAGGTCGGAGATCTCATATTAGAAGGGTCCCCAAGGGTCACCTGTTTGATAGGTCCTCTGACCCTGTCTCCTCTACAGCTCCCCAGCACACCTGCTACCCGAGCATCACCTCCAAGGGGCCGGGCTATGCCTTGCTGCCTGTGGACAGATGTGGGTGTCCAGATGTTCTCTCTGGAGTGAAGCCTACAGCTATGAACTAGTTCTGTGCCTCACACAGGCCACTGATCGGCTGCTGTCTTCCCCTCTTCCACAGTGCGACCCTCCTCTGGAAGTTAAAGATTTGTTCATTGACATACAAGATGGCAGAATCCTCATGGCTCTGTTAGAAGTCCTGTCTGGGCGAAATCTGGTACGTATGGCACAGAAGGGTCAGGAAGAAATAAAACACCAAGGAAACGGCACTGAAGGTTTCTTTTTAATACAGATCTACAGGGTATCCCCCAAAATGCATATGCACTCTGAATGATTAGAAAGCCAGTGCTTATTAGCTTACAGTTCATTTTCAAAATTTAAGAGAATCTACAGAAATGAATAATATTTTTGTTAATGCCTGTTTTCGAACTGATGACTGGTCCAGGCACTGCTGATAACACGAAGCAATGGAATCTCAAACAGCAAGAATCGTTTTGTTCTGTATTTGTTTGCCCTCAACTCAGCAACTGCTGCCAGTTTTATACCTTAGTGGCACTTTAGGTTAAATATTCTTTGTTCAGAGCTTAGTCTGGCTTCACCTATTATTTCAAATCAGTTATACCTGAAAAGGAGTGAAAATTAAGTGAGTTATCAGCTGTTCAAGTATGTATACATTTTTTGAGACACCCTATATATGTAATACACATACCTGGCCATACATAAGTCCTATGACATGACACTGTGGAAGGTGACATTCCTTTCTCAGTGACTAAGACTGATATAATCATGGGTAACTAAGCAGTATCTTTTCTTTTTTTTTAGCAAGTATTTACTTTAGTAAGTAGATGAAAAATGCCCAGTGTTTTCTGTGAGTCTGTTAAGGCTAAAGATTGGAACTAGAACATTATAGTTTAACTCGCCAGCCGTTATATTAACCAGAATGATAGGCAAGAATCAAGGTGATGGGGAAGGCATCTTACAGCCAAATTCTATCATCTCCATCCCAAGGCTAAAGCTAGAACTGCTGCCTTCTAGAACCTTCTTATAAGTATAACCAAAAGTATGACCAAAATGGAATTGAACCGCTGATCTCGAGGTTTATTTCACTTGGATCGTAGCCAGCCCCTTTCGTGTGGTGTGTGTCTGCTCTGTGCAGGCCAGTCCCGTCTCCCCTTCACAGAGTGGGCCGCTCAGCCTCAGTGCTGGTGGCGTGTTGGGTGGGACGGTCCTTGTGGTGGGGCCTCCTGTGCACTGCAGGCTGGTTAACAACAACTTGGTCTCTACCCACTGGATTGGATGCCAGTAGTACCCCCAGGTGTAACAACCAAACATGTCTCTACAACAGTCCCAGATATCCCTTGGTGGGGGTGAGGGTGGGATGGGGGCAGCGATCTGGCCAAAATGTGGTAATGTTGACTCTGAGAAACCCCGTCTCATGTCAGGGTTTGATTTGCGCTGAGTGACTCTTAGTGGCAAATACAGAGGTGCAGCGATGACCCATGAGCTTGGCCTGGCAGTTCATGCCAGGTGTGACTGACACCCACTGGTTTGCCTCGTAATGGAAACCACCCACCTGGAGGGGCACCATGGGCTTCAGTGTAAGAGCTCATTCTGAGGGTGCTCCCAGTGTGTCAGCTGCATGGCTGGAGCTGGAGCTTCTGTAGGCACCTCCCTGTCTCCCCCTTCTCTCTTTCTCCCCCTCTGTCTCTATCTCCTCTGTCTCTCTTTCTCTGTTCCTCTGTCTCTCTCTATCTCACTCTCTGTATCTCTCTGCCTATCTTTGTCTCCCTGCCTCGGTCTCTCTCTCTGCCTCTCTCCCCCACTTCTCTGCGCCTGTCTCTTTCTTACTCTGTCTCCCCCCCTCCTCTCTGTCTCTCCTCCCTCGTCTCAGTCTCTGTCTGACCCGGGATCACTGTTCACAAAGCTCTTGGCCGGCGAACAGGAACATCTGCCACCCCAGGGAGGGACTCGCGGGTGATTTAGCAGCTGCGTGGTGACGCCCCTGGAGGAGGCTCCACTCCGGCAGGAACCGTGGGCCCGGAGCAAAGCACGTCGCTGCAGGGCTCTGGGGGAGGGGGGACTATCCAAAGCCAGGAGCTGGGTCAGCGAGAAAAGACCTGACAGATCTGCCCCCTGTTTAACCCCTGGGTCCCCCACTCACCAGCGCGACTGAGCGAAGCCCCAGGAACATAAATAAGGGGCGGGCTTCAGCTGGGAGCCCGACTTTGCGGAGATGAATGTGAGACGGCGGAGCCGGCAGCGGCCGGCGGGCTCCGCGGCCCCGAGGCCTGTGTCGTGTGACTCGCTGTCTGGTTTGTGTTACAGCTCCACGAATACAAATCCTCCTCCCACCGCATCTTTCGGTTGAACAACATAGCGAAAGCACTTAAGTTTTTGGAAGATAGCAACGTAAGTATTTCAAACACATCTGGTTCACACAGGCCTTTGAGGACAGCACTTGACGTTTAGTGCCGGTCACGGGAGACGCGTGGAAAGGGACCCCGCTAAAGCGGCCAGTTAGACTCAGTTTAAATTGAATGGAACTCGGCCAGCGTGCCCGTGGGCGATACAGGCCCTGACCCCCAGCCCACCCTCCATCTCCATCAGGACAAAAGCCAGGAGCCGGGTTAGAGAGCAAAAACCTGACAAATCTGTCCCCTGACAAGTCATGACACCTGGTCACGGGAAGGGAGGGACAACTGACTGGGTCTCGTCTCTTCAGGACTCAGTTGACTCTTTTCTTTGTTCCTTTGACAAGAGTGCAGCGAGCATGTCCGAGTACAAAGCTCTTAGAGCTCAGAATATGGGAGAAGCACAGGGGGAAAGGTAAACCTAAGTGAGCCAAGGAAACTTACAAAATTCTCCCCTCTGATAGAACTTCCTAGACTTTAATTTGCCTTTTCTGTGTTTTGAACTCTGCCTTATGTCCCCTAGAGGGATGACATTTACCCAGTCAATCTGGGTAAAACACTGCAGCTTGCCCGACAGTAAAACTTGGTTGTAAAGTGCGATTCGCTTGGAGTTCTTCGTGGTCAGCAACAGGAGCCCAGATTGGCTAACTTAAGCAGAAGAGGGGTTTGTTGAAAGGAGGCTGAGTAGTACAAAGAGTGACTTAAAAGCTGGGGGACCAGGGATGGAACCCAGGGATGCCAGGCCCACTGCAGAGCTCCCGACGCCCCAATCCAAGGACCTTGTGGGCATAGCCACCCCTGCACTCAGAGGACATCACAGCCCCTAGAATGAACTCAGTGTCCATTCACATTCAAAGGCCTGGGCTGCCGAGCCTCGATCCCTGCCCGCATCCCAGCTTCCGAGGCAGGCGAGGAAAGGGAAAGGATGCAGAGCCTCAGCCTCAGCTTCTGTGTCTGTAAAGAGAGGGCATGGGAAGACAGCCTCGCGCAGAGTGCCGCTGAGGCTTGGATGTGCAGCTGAGGCTCTTACTACTTCACCTGCTCCTGGAGGGAGCACCAGGCGTGTCTTCTGAGCAGTGTCTACACCTGAATTCCAGAGGGCCTCGTTTTTGTGATAACGGGTGGGCGGGTGTTTCAGGAAGGGCTGGCCCGTGCCCAGGTGTCACACACTGAAAGCCTGGCCTGCTCTTATCCCTCCTTAAATGTTTCCCAAACCGTCTGCAGTAGCTGCCTGTGGTACAATAGAACATTCGAGCTCCCCTCTCCCTTTATTTTTTATTTAAAATTCTGGAAATGTTCCAAGTGTGGATGTTTTTCGTCAGTTTTGTGCCCCATTTTCCAGGCAGGTAAGGCCGGTGAGTGACCCTGGGATGGTGGAATGGTGAGCACAGGTGAGTGAGACAGGAGACAGACATTTCAGATGCAGTCTCTGTCCCACTCCCAGGATCCACAGACCACTCACCGGCCCTCACTGGCCTCTCCGTGTCCTACTGTCCCAGCTCCAGGGAGGACGGGCCGCAGTGGCTCTGTGGAGCCAAAGAAGTGCCCAGACCTGGGTGATCAATGCCAAGCAGGTGCTGGGAGGGGCAGTGGGCGGGCTCGTTTGCTCCAGGATTCAGATGCTGTTAGATGCGGCCGTGCAGTGTCCTTCCCTCTCTCCTTCACAACTGTGCGTCACAGAGCATAGCACTGACTCTGTTGTCAGAGACTAGCTGCTCCACGGGACCAACTCTGTGACTGCCAACCTCTGAGCCTCAGCTTTCTCAGCTACGAAATGGGTATATCATGAGCATGGAATGAATTAACCCCTGAAAACCACTCAGCAGGAAGTCGGGCTCCACATGATGACCACTATTGCTGCCTCGTGCTCTATGCAGCAGCCAGAGGGGGAGAAGGTATATTCCCATAAGCCACTTGACCCCTTTGTTGTCAAAGTGCCAAAAATAGCTGAGCTATGGGGGAAAGGAGTAGGAGGACTTTGTCCCTGAAGCTTCTGCCTGACGTCTGGCTATTCCATGGTCTGTTCACGACGGAGGACCCAGCAGTGGCTGGGCACCCATGATATTTGGGACTATCCACTCCTTGGGCCTTGGACTAGCTGCAGTCACCACCCTCCCTCGCCGGGTGCTCCAGCCTCGCCTCTCCTGGGATGGCGTGCCATCCTGCTCGCCGAGTCCCTGCGACGCAGCCCTGTCATCTCACTTTGGCACCTTCCCACGAACCTCAGCTCGGAGGCCGCGCTGGGCTTCCTCCAGGAGGGATCATCAACTTGACCCACTGCTCCAGTTCCCTGGACTGGGATGAGTTCAGTAAGCCATGGGAACGGAGGGGGCCCTCCCAGCAGAGGGTCGGGAGACCGGCAGGCCACGTTTCACAGGTGATTTCATCACGTGGGGCGTGTGGCCATGACAGATGTGGGTGGAGTATGGACCTGAATTTGATGGGCCATGTTTTTCACGGTATCGACAGCTCCCTTCTTGGATCCAGCCTGCCGGTGATGAGCTCACGCCATCTGAATCCCATTCTTGGCATCAGCCTGCTAACGCCCTCAGCCAGGGAACTATGGAGTTACCCTCTCCCCAGGTTAGGAAAGCCCAGGCCCTGCTGATGGGTGTTGTCAGAAAACTGTGACAGCTGATAGGATCAGAGACCCTTGTCAAACACTTTTAAAAGCCCTTAGGGGAGGGGAGAATGGAATATTCGTCTGAGGCCCCGTTTTCTTACCCAAGTCTCCCTGCCGAATTTTGCCGGGTGGATTTGAAAGTTTGCCTTGACTTTCTTTCCCCCTGCTTTCCCCTGAAGAATGGATTTTACATTTAAGAAGGGTTGTAAAGAATAAAGAAGAGAATGTGACAGGCAGTGGTGGCCTGCAAAGTCTTACGTATTACTCTGTGATCTGCGGACTCAGGTTTTGTTTGCAGAATGAAAGGACTTAGGGCAGGGGTCCTCACTCTCCCCTGAGTGGGCAGTGGCATCACCTGGAGGGCTGGTTGAAGTGCACGTTGGAGTCCCCCTCTCAGAGCCGCTGGTTCAGTAGGTCTGGGCAGACTTTGCATTTCTAAGGGGTTCCCAGGGACCACACTTTGAGAACCATTGCCTTTTGGACTTGCTGAGAGCATTATCCTGTGGTCAGAACCTAGTTAAATAAGTAGACAATGTCCTAAGGCTTCCTCAAATAGACACATTTTAACCAGTCCGTAGGATATTTTGTAATGGTGCAGAAACTGGATGCCAGCCTTATTCAAGATGCTGCATCTCATTAGCAATAGATAACCGTCATTCCCGTTGTGGTCCATGATTGCCAATGTCAGTGCTCTGTGTTTGTCCGGAGATGCCCAGTCTGCAGGTTTGGGGGTGGTGGTGTAGCACGCGGACGGACCTAGTGGGCACTTTACCATCTGTCCTTGGAAAAGATGACTGAGACCTTCTTAGTGTCCCACCCCGGGCAAGTCACATTTGACCTCTCTGGCATTTCCTCACCTAAAATACAGGGATAATAGAAGTACCTACATGGTGGGGTTGTTGTGCTGGTGAAATCAGTACTTGGTCAGGAGCTTAGAATAGTGTCTGCGCATGGTAAGTTCTATGTATGTGACTATTAAACACACATATGCACACTTTTGCATTCTGGGGTCCCTGAGAGGTGGCCTTGGGTAACACTGGGCAGCACAGGTGAGAAAGAGAAACAGGCCCATGAGGGCATCAGAAAATAACCTGTTTTCAGTGTATATGGCCACCCTGTTAAGCTCATAAATTGCTTCTTGTAGGTAAAACTGGTTAGCATCGACGCCGCAGAAATAGCAGACGGCAACCCCTCTTTGGTTCTTGGGCTGATATGGAACATAATTCTCTTCTTCCAGGTAAAATCATTTCCTTCCCTTAACACACAGTAATGATCTTGCACCTGCTTAGGGCCACCAGAACAGAGTGGGGCCAGATCAAGGTGACAGTGAGATTCAGTTTCCGAGAGATTTTTACTCTCCGGTTTCCTGAACAAGAACCAGAGGACTCCGGTTGCTAGAGATTTGAGTCACTGTGATTTTAAAAGTGATGGGAGCTCTGTTCTCCAGAAGAGCCTCTCCATCCTCTTGGAAACTGAAGAATTAAAATTTACTTGGAAAAATTATTTTAAAGTGTCACAGAACTGGGGAAATACTTCCAAAAATTGAACTTGGTAGAGTTACTTTCCTAAAATGACTGCTGTTCATCAGAGATGATTAAAGAGCTTGTCCAAAAGATAGCTCTAGGAAGGAGCATGTGTGACAGGTGAGAACTTCTTTTTCCATCCTTAGCAACATCAGCCTCTCTTTGGAAACAGGTTTTATAGAGAAGGAGCAGGAGCAATGGCTGGGGTATGAAGGTGGTATTTAAAATCGTGCTCAGGTTCTTTGAGTAGAAGGGGGTAACCTGCTGTTTCATCTTCTCAAACCCCCCTCTTTTGAAATAGAACATCATGGCTCATTATTTAGTTGCCCTCCCAAGAGTAAAAATTATCTGCATAGAGGTGATTTGCTGGGATTTTTGGCTCAATGCTTATGTTTCAGGGAGGGACGAAGACAAACAAAGTTTGGAGACAATAGATCTAGTTCTAGGTGAGCCTTGAACTTTAAAAACCAAAGCTCTCTCTCTGAGCCTGTTTCCACATCTGGGAAAAGGGGGCCATGGTCATAATGTATGATGAGCTGCTGTGTGGGAAACCCCATGGTCAACTGGAGTGTTATAGTCGGGCTTCGGTTACCGGTGGTCATTATGAGACTCCCTGATAGATGCTGGAAACATCCTGAAAATGTGTAGAAAGTCCAGGCCTAAGTCTACCCCAGATCTTCCTTCAATGATTTAGTAAATGCCTATTGAGTTTCTGATGTGCCAGGCTCTGGACATGGAAAGTCCTGCAGTCATGACTCTGGGATCACAGATAGGTCAGTTCTCTCTTACAGAGCTCTGTGATGCAGGCCATGATCAAGGTATGAGCAGTGTTGTAAGAGCTCTGAGCAGAGGCAGTTACCTCTGGGGAGGAGGAGAGTGAGGAAAATTGCCTACAGGAGGTGACATCAGAGCTGGGTTTTGAAGGGTGAGTAGGAGTGTGCTAGACCAGTGCTTCTCAGGCTTGACTGTACACACAGTTCGCCTGGGGGTGGTGTTGAAATGCAGATTCTGATTCTGTGGGTCTGGGGCAGGGCTTGGGCTTCTGCACTTCTCACAAGTGCCCATGATAAGAGCCGTATTTTGAGTGGTCAGGAATTCAGTGATGCAGAAAAGTGACATCCAGGCAGCAGGACCAGGATGAGCACAGGCAGTGGGACTTGGAACAACATGATGCATTCTGGGAGTGATAGGCCATGAGAGGAGGGGGCAGGTGGAGTCAGGTCAGGAAGACCCTGTGTGCGGAGTCTGGCCAGAGCTAGAGAGACTTGGGGAGAGATGACCTTCCCCGTAATGTGTCACTGCATGCACTACAAGCCACATGAAATGGTCAGGCTGTCATGGGTCTGGCCCTGTCCCCTGACACACGACCATCGGGAGGGGGTTTCACCCTGTCTGCATGAGCTGGTCCCTCCGGTCAGGGTCCAGGTGTTCCATTTGGTCAGACCAGGGTTTGCCCTGGGTCTGCCTGTGGGTCTCAAATGGACTTTTTCCTTCCAGATCAAGGAGCTCACCGGCAACCTCAGCAGAAACTCTCCACCTTCCAGCCTGTCACCCGGCTCAGGGGGCACAGACTCAGACTCTTCCTTCCCACCCACGCCCACCGCAGAGAGGAGCGCGGCACTGTCCGTGAAAGACCAGAGGAAGGCCATCAGGACCCTGCTGGCGTGGGTGCAGAGGAAAACGAGGAAGTGAGCCTGGCACCCTGTCCCCCCAGGCTGCTGCTGGGCAGGGGAGGAGGGCCCTCCCTGGGTGGGCAAAGGAGAGGGGCATCGACACCTCCTAAGTTATGTGCCACTTACGTGCCTGCCTCTTCATGTAGACTGTCAGAGCAGGGAACGGTGTATGTTTTTCACATTTTGTGCACAGAAAACTGTATTCACAGAATCTTTGGTTCGCAGAAAGCTCACGAGAGGATCTGAATCAAATCGAAGGGCTTCCACCGTGCTCAGCCCCTCAGCGGGGCTGTCTCTTGGATCCTGATAAGTAAACATCGTTCTCATTAGGTGCCAGGGTATTTTTCAACCTACTTAATAGCGGTAAAGGCTGTAGAGTGTCTGAGTTAGGTTTGGCCTTTCCCAAACTTAGACCATGAGCTGGAGCAAAGTTCCTGGCCTCCCGCTTGACCCTGTGCAGTAGGCAAGGCCTTTTAGCAGTTTGGTATCAGACCTTTTATTTACTGGCAGTGGCCGACAGCCCCTGGGCCTCTGGGCTGCGGGCAAGAATGGGTAGAAAGCCAGGCCACACCAACTCAGGGCCACCTCAGCTGTGCCACGTTCATGCTGGGTGAGATCCTGGTGAGTCACTTCCCACTGGCCATATCTGCAGGATGGTGACTTACTGTTCACTGCCTTGCAGGATAGTTAGGGTGAGATGAGATAGACCCCACGAAAGCGCCTGGCTCCGTACCTGCAGGTTAAAAGCACTTCACAGATATCGGATGTAGAAATAAAAGATGAAAGGAGAAAAAAGGTGGGAGAGAGACTGGATCTTTGGAGTTTTGATTTTGGGGCAGAGTGTGGTGGAGTTGATTAATGCGAACAGTCATTACATGTTGTTTAAAAAAAAATCAACCAAAAGAGAGCCAGGTGACTAAGGAAGGGGAGGTGTCTTTGGGGTGATGACAGTTCTGTTTCTCCATTGTGGCCGTGGCTCCAGGACTCTGTACTTGTGACAAAATGCCGTGGTACATATACCATCACTGAAAAGGAGACTGTGAGACCGGGTGAGGTCTGGGGCTTAATTAATAGTCTGTCCCAGTGTCAGTGTCCTGGCTTAGGTAACACATTCTGGGACGTATGACGCTCTCTGCTTTTACAACTTCTTATGAATCTTAAATAATTTCTAAATTTAAAAACGTTGAGTTTTTTTGTTGTTGTTTTTTAAGAGAACTCAGTGATCACCGTGGAGACACTGGCAGGTCTCAGAATGGTTTCTAAAGGAAACTGGTGCCTGGCAGGATCAGATCTTCATCCCTCATATATGACATTAGCTGCCACTTAGTGAGTGGCTTCTGTGTGCTGCCTGCATGGCACATTTGGTTGTCTACCTGCTGTGGCCATTCTTGTGGGTTCAAGCTAATACTTCACGACAGCCGCCAGGAGGGCACAGCCTGGAGATCCCTGTTTTATCGTTGAGGCGCCTGAGGCCTAGAGGGGCACGGGGCTTGCCCGAGGCCACAGCACAGGAAGAATAGAGGGGGCAGCCAGGTGTGCACAGGGACTTTCTGGCTCCACTTTATTGCACAGCACATCCTGTTTGCTGTTTTGAATATCACTGATAAGATGATCAGTGTATAAAGTTGCTCCTTTATCTGTCTGGAAATCAGGGAACACAAGGTCCTGTTTGGCCTCCTTGTAGGACGCATACCTTCCTCTCCCATTCACCCAGAAAGGGAAATGCGATGGGTCTGTGCAGCTCTCTGGGGCCCGGGGCGCCCTAGCCTTGTGGGGTCAGCAGCTCCCGGCCCCCCTTGGAGGCCCACGAGGCTGCTGGGGGCTGACCCCTTATCATTGATTCTCTTTGCTAAGAGGCATGTGGCCGCCCCGCTGCTTTTCCTCAGGTATGGCGTGGCCGTGCAGGACTTTGCAGGCAGCTGGAGGAGTGGGCTGGCCTTCTTGGCTGTGATCAAGGCCATTGACCCCAGCCTGGTGGACATGAAGCAAGCCCTGGAGGACTCCATGCGGGAAAACCTGGAGAAGGCTTTCAGCATCGCGCACGACACCCTTCACATCCCCAGGCTCCTGGAGCCCGAAGGTAGCAGCAGTTCCCTCTCTCTCCCCTCTTAATGCTTTTTATTACCTGTGTCACCAGTGTTGTCCAGGTAGAAAATTTAGAAAATACAGAAAAATCCAATGAAGATATTTATATATCTTCTATATTCCTAACACTGAGATAATTTTCCCAGTATTTTTCTATGCATTTAATTACATTTTTAAACATAATTTAGAGCATTCAGTGTATGAATAGTTTTGTCTCTTCTTTTTTTACTTAATGTTTTAATTTTGACATAAATATTTTGCATGTAGCTATAATGCCTTCATTATATATTTTTATTGGCTGCGTGAATAGCATGCCGACATTTACTAGGCTCTGCCACCACTGGCGGCCACTGAGGGTGTCTCAGAAACATGTTTATATGCAGCGCTGCAGGGAACGTCGCACTGAATGCAGCCCAGCGCGCTCCTCAGATGATTTCCTTCAGGACCAGGCCCCATCAGGGTAACGACAGAGTTGGAAAGGATACGCCTTTTCGGGGCACTTGGCTGTCTCTGTCCGATTGGTTTCCCCGTGGGTCAGGCTCGTTGGGGACCCCCTCCAGCAGCGAGTAAGGGCCCTGGGTCACCAGGCTCACTGATGAAGCCGGCCATGAGCCAGCCGCTCGCAGTGGGGGGACTGAGATGGAATAACGGGCGATCTTGGGGATCAGGAGTCCTGGACTCTACATCCCAGCCCCTCTGTTCATCAGCCTGCAGTCAGGTGATTCACCCTCTCTGGGCCTGACTTTGCTCAGATGGAAGAAGGAGAAAAAGCCTCAGGGACCTGTGGGGTCGTCTCCCAAGACCCCGTTTTTGTGTGTCCTCCTAATGCCTGTGTCTCTCTTCACAGACATCATGGTGGACACGCCGGACGAGCAGTCTATCGTGACTTACGTGGCGCAGTTTCTGGAACATTTCCCGGAGCTGGAAGCAGTATGTTGGTTTTCCTTGCCTTTCCTTCTGAAAGTGTTCGTTTCCGGCAGCTGGCCATCAGGCGACGCTGGGGCTGTGCTGTGCTGTTCGAGGAGCAGTGACTGAAACACTGATCCCAGGCCCCTGTGCGTTGCCTTGACACGTGCTAATTTCCCATCACAGATAATGGGCATTATGTTTAAAAGCAGGTCGGGAAGTGAGGCAGCCGCACCCCTCGTAAACCTTTTCCCAGACCAAACTTTATTAAAGTTATAAAAGATGCTTGCGTGTAATGTGGGGCACTTACTCGATTTTTTAGATGTCAGATGGAACATTTTAGCTGCCTACCAGATTCTGTCAGAGTGTGAAAAATGATAAAAGGCAATGTTCAAAACACACCTTTTTATTTTCAGAATCTCAGACTGTACTTGCTGACAGATTTTTTTTTTTTATCAAAATGAGACCTTTAAGGGGTTGTCATGGCTCCATGAACCCTCCCCCCAACCCGTGCATAACCCAGAGATGGTGATGATGATAATGGGGATTATAACAATAGCGATAGCCCTTTCTTGAATGCATTGCTAATTTACTGAGCACCTCGTGCTGGCTCGGGGGTCTCGCCAGTAAACTAGGTGGGTGAGGCCCCTGACCTTGTGTAGCTTTGTTCTAATAGAGAACACAGTTAACAAGTTAGCAAACGCATTATTATTTCAAGTAGGTATAAGTGATAGAAAAAATAAGCATAAAGAGCTAATGCTAGCAAGGGAACAGGGCTGCTCTACTAGCTGGAGGCCGGTCAGGTGACTCACTGCCATTCCTGTGGCTCAGCGTCATTGTCCTCAGCTTATAGATGAGAAGTCTGGAGGCTTCAAGCCCTCTCCAGGGTCACACAGCCACCAGCTACGGAGCTCTGTGACCGCAGGTCTCTGTGGTTCCAAAGTTCAGGCTTTTCGATCCCTCCCAGCATAAGGCTGAAACTGGGCCCCATTTGGTACAGCTCAGAAGAGCCAGACGGGGTCGTCCCTGCTGTGGCTTTCATCCCAGTCCCATGCCAGCTTTCTCACACTGTCTGCAGGATTAGCTTTCTCCTTGCAGAGTGTGTGCTGATTTTTAAACACGTCTTTTATAAACGGTATATAGTCAGGTCTCGTTTTTTATCCATTCTGACAAGAAACAGCGTGTCGTTTAATTAGTGTGGTTTTTGTCCGTTTACAGAGATTTACTCTGCCATCTTGACTATTGATTTCCATTGGTCCTATCTGTGCTGTGCTCCTTTGTCCTTCCTGCCTAACTTTTTTCGGATTCAGTTATTTTTTGGTTTCCATTTTGGCTCTGCTATGGGCTTTTTGGGCACATCTCTTTGTTGTATCTTTTTAGTAGTTGTTCTAGGGATTATAATATTCATCTTGAACATACCTCAATCTACCTTGAATTCAAGTAAAATGCATATCTTATTTATTTTTATATATGCAAAATTTTAATTCCACCCACTTTCTCTCCATTCCTCTGTGCTATTTACTGTCATTTACTTCACTTCTCATGTGTTTTAATCCCAATACTTTGTTCTAGTTTGGCTTTAAACAGTCAGGAGGCTTTTTAGTCTTTTATGTTGACCTATTTCAGGTACTTTTCATTCCCTCCTTCATATCCTGGCTTCCATCTATGATCATTTCTCATCAGCCCAAAGAACTATCTTGTAGCACAGGTTAAATTGTTATTTTAAAGTCTTTATTAGCTAGTTCTAAACCCTGGGTCATATATGGGTCTATTTCTAATGACTGTTGTTTCTCTTCATTATGGGTCTCATTCCCCTGCTTCTTGGTATCTTGAAATTTTTTATTTTATGCCAGACCTGGTGTATAAATGAACATTGTTCCCAC